TGCTGACAAAGAATGCTGAAAGTACTATGGACTGCTGAAAGAACTAACAAATCTTTCCTAGAAGAAATGCAGCCAGAATGCTCCTTGGAAGCAAGAATGACCAAACTTCGTCTCACCTACTTTGGTCATGTTGTAAGAAGGGACCATTCCCTGGAGAAGGCCATCATGCTTGGCAAAGTGGAGGGACAATGAAAAAGGGTAAGGACCTCAATGAGGTGGATTGACACAGTAGCCACAAGGATGGGCTCAGGTATAGCAAGGATTGTGGGGCTGGCCCAGGACCAGGCAGTGTTTCATTCTGCCGTACATGAGGTCACTATGAGTCGGAGATGATTAAACGGCACCTAACAACAACAACAACATGTATGATTAATCCCAAGTTTACTGATGAGGAAAACCAAACCTGGAATTCAAATATTAGCTTAATAAATATTGACAAGGCATACACCACAGACCATACCCTGGCCCTGGAGATGTTCGGTGGTAAGATTCTGTACAAACTCAGGAGGGTCAGGAGAACCAGGCTGGGGACATTATATTTCATGTGACAGAAGCCAGCTCAGATTGTACACAAAGGAAACGATTCCACCTTGAAATATACAACCAGATTCAATGTTCTTATCAGAAATTAGCCATTTGATACCTAAGAGCCTACACACATGGCATGTTTGAGAACAGTATTCCTTTTCTTTCGAGTCTGGGTAAGATCATTATTGTTTATTCTAGTGAAAATATAGTCCCCAACATTTTTACCAAGACAGCAGTTTCTACATTCACAATGCAATCCACCGATTGCGTGCTTCATGTTGTGGAACCATTAGCTCTGCCTTTTCCAAAGACTGCCACCACCACTAACATATCATCAATGCCTGCAAGCAAAACTCCTCCCTTCCCCTCCCTCCCACTCTGGTAACTGTGAGCGATCTGTGGTTTCTATGTACTTGCTTATTTCATGTAAGTGAGATTGTACAGTATTTGTCCCTTTGCTGCTGACTTATTTCTCTCAGCATTAACGTTTTCAGCGTTCGTCCATGTTGTGGCCACATGAGGACTTCATTTCTCTTTACAGCTGAGTAATATTCCATGGTATGCATAATCTACTGTGTCACTATGGTTGATGGCACTCAGTGTGGTAACTCATGGTATCTCTCGTCCCGGCCCTTCTCCTCCCCTTCCCCCTCTCCTTTCCCCACCTCACAGGCAGGGTTGAGTCCCCTGTACCCTTGCTCCCCATAGCCCCTCCCCTCTCCCACTGGCCAAGGAGGAAACTTCCTCTCTGCCCAATGGCAGGTGAGGAGGCCTGCCCGATTGCACCTTGACTGGTGGGTGGAGAAGAGGGATGTGAGGCGTTAGTCCTGGGTGATGGGTGACACCAGCTCTAGTGATGTCACTGTCCTGGCAGCACCCCCACCCCGAGGCTCTGGACCATCTCCCCGCACCCCACTCCCTGAGGTAATTGTGGTGTTATCCCCTGTGACCGTGTGTGGGGAGGTGTGGGTGCGATCCCTGGTGATGCCACTATATTCATCACATTTTGTTTATCCAGTCATCTGTTGGTGGGCATTTTGTTTTTTCTACCTTTTGATTATTCTGGAAAGTGCTGCAATAAATATGCAGGTTTCTGTTTTGTTCCTCCTTTCATGTCTTCTGGGTACAGTATATACTGAGGGTTGGGACTTTTTGCTGGGTCGTATGGTAGTTCTGTGTTCAGCTTTTTGGGGAGCCACCAAACTGTTTTCTACAGTGGCTGCACCATTTTCCATTCCCACCAGCAGTGGGCGAGGGTTCCAGTTCTCCACCTCGCCACCGTCTGTTGTTTTCCATCCTTTTGATCACTGTCATTCTATTGGTATCTCATTTGGGTTTTGATTGACATCTCCCTAATGGCTAATGAGGAAGGTTGGGCAATCTACTTCTGTAGTAATACCGCCTCGGAAACCCCAGGAGGGGTCACTATGAGTTGGGTCTGACACCACAGCACATAACAACAAATGGCTAATGAAATCTGTCCTGGAAGAAGTGTAGCCAGAATGCTCCTTAGAAGAGAGAATGGCCAGACTTTGTCTCAGTCCCTGAAGAAGGGTACCATGCTTGGTAGAGTAGAGGGTCAGCGAAAAAGGGGAAGACCCTCAATGAGATGGACTGACACAGTGGCTGCAATGATGGGCTCAAGCAGAGCAAGGACTGTGAGGATGGCACCTTGAGTCAGAGCTGACTTGAGAGCATCTGACAGCAGCAATGGCTAATGAAAGAGCTCTGGTGGCGCACTGGTTAAAGCGTTTGCCTGCTAACCAAAGTCAGCTGTTTGAATCCACTAGCTACTCAGTGGGGGAAAGATGTAGTGGTCTCTTTCCATAAAGATTGTTGTTGTTATGTGCTGTCGAGTTGGCCCCAACTCATAGCAACCCCTCCTTGGGTTTCCGAGGCGATTTCTCTATGGAAGTAGATTGCCCAACCTTCCTTCCGAGGAGTGGCTGGTGGGTTTGAACCGCCAGCCTTCTGGTTAGCAGTCAAGTGCCTCAGGCACTATGCTACCAGATTACAACCTTGGAAACCCTATGGGGCAGTTCTGCTCAGTCCTATAGGCTCACTAGGAGTCAGTCAGCTCAATGGCAGTGGGTTTTCTGTTTGTTTGTTTAATGGCTAGTGAAAGGAGCCCTGGTGGTGTGGTTAAAGTGCTCTGCTGCTAACCAAAAGGTTATTGGTTTGAACCCACCAGCTGTTCCATAGTAGAAAGACGTGGTGGTTTGCTTTTGTAAAGATTCACACCCTTGGAAACCTTGCGGGCAGTTCTATTCTGTCCTGTAGGGTTGCTGTGAGTCAGAATCAACTTGATGGCAATTTTTCTTTCTTTTTTTTTTTATGGCTACTAATGTTGAGCATCTTTTCATGTGCTTGCTGACCATCTGAATATCCACTTTGGTGAAATGCTGTTAGACCCCGTTGCCCATTTTTGATTGGGTTGTTTGTCTTTCTGTTAAGTTGTAGAAGTAGTTCATATATTTTGGATAGCAGACTCTTATCATCACATTTTCTCCCAATCTGTAGATTGTCTCCTCACTTTGTTGGTAAAGTCCTTTGATAACAAAAGGCCTTAATTTTCCTGAAGTCCCATTTATCTATTTCGTCTTTTGCTACTTGGCATTTGTTGTCATTTCTGATAGTCCCACAGCTTTGCCCCTATGTTTTGTTCTAAGGATTTTATTTTTTTATTTGTCACATTTAGGTCCTTGATTCATTTGGAACTGGATTTGGGGGATGGTATAAGGGTTGGGACCTGGTTCATTCTTCTGTGTGTGGATATTCAATTTTCCCAACGCCATTTATTGAAGAGGCTCTTCCTTCCTCACTGGATGGGTTCATCAGTTGACCATAGATCTTGCATTTATTTCTGGACTCTCACATCTATTTCATTCTGTTTGTCTATTATGCAAATACCAGGCTATATTAATTACTGTAACTTTACAGTATTTCAAAATTGAATCTGAGTAAGATTATTAAATGTGTCTTAAGGTATAAAAAAGTTGTATCTAGCTGGGGGTAAAAATTAGAACACTGCAAAATTTTAAAAATACCAGTAAGAAATCATTTAAAATCCATGCAATTTGTAATCCTTCTTGATAAGAAGATTCACAAGTTTTATCATCAATGAATTTGTGTATGCTTGGTCTGCTATTCAACACGTAGTAATGACCCCAAGTGAGCACCTGCTCTGGGCCAGGCACACATGATCTCAACCGAACTCCCAAAAACTTTCAAGTCTGCTACGATCCTCGTCCCCACTTTCTGGATGAATAACCAGGCATAGAGGCTATTTCTCAAAGCTGCACAGCTACTATGCATCAGAGCTAGAATTTGAACCCAATAGGACCTCTAGTGGCGTAGTGGTTAAGGCATTTGACTGCTAACCAGAAGGCTGGTGATTCAAACCCACTGGCCACTCCACAGAAGGAAGACTGGGCAATGTACTTTGCATAATTGGAAACCCAAAGAGAGTCGCTATTAGTTAAATTGACTCGATGACAGCAATTTTTTTTTTTTTGGTTTTAATAATATTAATTACTCATTAACACACTTTGATTGAATCTTTTCTAACTCATAGGAACTTTATAAAAAATCAAAACCAAACTCACTGCCATCGAGTTGATTCGACTCATAGTGACCCCCTTTGGTTTTCCAAGATGGTATGTCTTTATGCAAATAGATTGCTCAGTCTTCCTTCTGCACAGTAGCTGGTGGGTTTGAACCGCCAACTTTCTGGTCAGTAATCAGATGCCTTAGGCACTACACCAGACAGTAGAATTGCCTCATAGGGTTTCCAAGGCTGTACTCTTTCGGAAGCAGACTGCCCCACCTTTCTCTCACGGAGCAGCTAGTGGATTGGAACTGCCGACCTTTCAGTTCACAGCTGAGCGCTCAACCGCTGCGGCACCGGGGCTTCTTTATAATAGTGTTAATAAATCAAACGCCTGGTGGACGAGTGGACCCAGACTCTTGGAGATCTTATAAATGCTTTAAACCTCACATTGGCATAACCCATTTTCCAAAACCCCAAAACCAAACCCACTGCCATCCAATCGATTCAGACTCATAGTGACTCTTTAGTACAAAGTGGAACTGCCCTATAAGGTTTCCAAGTCTGTAAATCTTTACGGAGCAGACTGCCTCATCGTTCTCCCGCTGAGCGGCAGGTGGGTTCGAACTGCCGACCTTTCGGTTAGTACCCCAGTGCCTTGACCACTGTGCTAAGTGTTGAGCCAGTTGTGCAGCCCGTATGGCTGCGGAGCAGCGATTCTTAGTCCCAGGTCGCACGGCCTTCAGGATTGCAGTCTTCCTTCCTCAGTTCTCCAGCCCAATTTTCCCCAACTTTCCCCAGGGGCTCAGGCGCCACCCTTTTCCTCCGGGCGGAGTAGGGAGAGGGCGGGTCCCCAAGCGCAGTCCCCTCCCCGGCACCCTCCCCACAGCTATAAGCCCTCGCGTCGGGCCCGGCGCGGGCAGTCCCGGGCTGGCCGGCTCTGCCGGACAATCGCGCTGATGGCGGCGCTGGCGGCAGTGGCCAAGAAGGTATGGAGCGCGCGGCGGCTGCTGGTGCTGCTGTTCACGCCGCTCGTGCTGCTGCCGGTGGTCTTCGCCCTCCCGCCCAAGGTAACGCCTCTGCGGCCCCATCCCACCCGTGCAGCGGCCTCGCCCCCTGCAGGAGCCTCCGGGCAAGAAACCACTGAGGTCCCAGTCAGGTTTCAGCAGATCCCCTCCCTCTCTCCTTCCCTCCTCCTCGGTGCTGCTCCTTGGAGACCCCTCGGGCTCTGCATCTTCTCACTTTTACAGTGAGATTTCTCTCTTTATTGAGCACTATGTGCTTGGAGCTGTGCTGTGTAGTTTGCTTGATAGTCATAATGAAAGCATAATAAATGGGAAGCTCTGTGACCTGGGGAAAGTTACTTAACCTCTCTGAACTTCCATTTAAACCAAAACCAAACCAAAACAACAAAAACAAAAACAAAAACAAAAACAAATGGGGGAAATAACAGCACCACCCCACAGTCGTGGCTATTGTTAAGTGAGGGAATCAGCTTTGAACCAGTTTGACTCCCTGCTGAGAATTTCGGTTTCCACCCCAGATATACTGAATCAGAATCTACATTTTAACAAAATCCCTAGGTGATTGTTCTGTGTCCATAAGAATCATCTAAGAATTTGTTAAAATGTAGATTCTGATTCAATGTATCGGAGATGGAAACCGAAATTTTCAATAGGGGGTTGAACCAGAGTGAGTGGTTGAAGCCCTGGTTCAATAACTAAGGGGAAGGAGTATTTACTCCATTATCCAGAGAGAAAACCAAGCCTCAGAGAGGTGCAGTGGCTTGCTCCAGAGCCCACGCTGTTTCCAGACTCCCAAAGAAAGGAATCCCAGAAGACCAAGGCAGGTTGAGGTCCAGAGTCTCATTACAAAATCCACACCAGTGGGACTGGCAGGAGATGGTACTGCAGGCCCCTGTGGGGCCCATCACCTGTGCCCAGCCCATTATGGGCACCAGGGTAGGGCACTAGGCACATAAGACAAGGCTTCTACCTATAGGAAGAGACCACCAAACCACGAAAACAGAAGGAAGGAGAATGTGATTTGGTGATCCATTACCCAGCACTGATGAGCTGAGATGGGGAGATAGGAGAGATGTTCAGAGAGGGCTTCCTGGAGGAAGAGGCCCTTCTTGGGCACAGGGAGTGAGGAGGTGATCCCTGGTGGTATGAAGGAGGCCCAGCGCTGATGCACAGACAAGTTCATTATGTGGAATTATCCCAGCTATTAGCCTTTCTTGCCATGGAAGAAAGTAAACAATGAACGCCATGACAGGGGTTGCCAGCAGCTGTGGAGTTGGCCTACAGCTGATGGCGACTCAGCAACGGAGTGAAAAGCTGCCCAGTCCTGTGCCGTCCTTGTGATTGGGATCAGTGGTGGGTTAGGTCACTCAGAAACCAGCCACTGGATGGCCCGGGGCCTTGGGCCAATCTCCTCTCTTCTTTGGCTCTCACTTTCTTTCCTCGTCTGTATAATGGGGCTGTCACTGTGCTAGATCCTCAGAATTGCTGTGTAGGCTCGAGCAAGGGAGTCCCTGGTTTTGTGAAGCATCAGTGGTGGAAGTGTGGGTAGCTGAGCTTTGCTGTTGTCTCTGAGGCCAGAGATGAAACACACAGAGTCTCTGTCCTCAGGGGGAGGGAGGTCGGAAAGCTTCTTTCTTGCTGTGTCCTATAGGAAGTGCTGTGAACCCCGGACCAGATCCAACTATTACTACGGTGCCTGAAGTGTATTTTTTTTTTAATTGTGATTTGGGTGAAAGTTTACAGCGCAAATTCATTTCTGTACATCAACTCATACACATTTTGTTTCATGTACTGACTGCAATTCCCCACAATGCAACAATGTAACAGCTCTCTTCCCACTTCTTCCCCACAGTTACCTCTTCCCTGTGTCTTTCCCTCCCATGCACCCCCCCCAGGGGTCTCCCTGTGCATACACTGCCCTTCTGTTCTCCCAGGATTGATGGAAGCATATACTCTTGAAGGGGCTCTCTTTAAGAAAAAGAATACAGATATGCAAACACAAAACCGGTACAGGCCTTGCGGGGGGCTCTGGAGCTTAAGCATCCGTAGTGTCACAGTGAATCATTTATGTATGAACCCCAACATCGATGCCTGTAACTCCCTAATTTAAAAAATAACAAGAAGGAAACCAGTTGCCCTCAAGTCGTTTCTGACACCTAGCGCCCCCTGTGCTGCAGTTGAGAACTTCGTAAGGCTTCCTTGGCTATGACCTTTCGGAGGAATTTATTAGGCCTTCCTTCTGAGGTGACTCTGAACAGTTTGCTGAGTACTTAACCGTTTGATCCAGCCAGGGGCTCCAAGCCTGATGAGTATGAAGTTGTATTGAGTGTTTACTGTGTGCCAGTCACTATGCTAAGACCTTCTTGGGCATTGTCTTATATGGTAAAACCTGCAAAAGCCAGAACCTGGGTAAGGTGCAAACCTGTCCGAGAAGGAAAACTCAAATATTTTCCACTAACGTGAGGATAGAAAAATGGTAAGACTGCACCTTGTCAAACGAGGAAAACTTAGGACAGTCAGATAAGCAAGGCAGTCCCATTGAATCCAGGCTTCCACAGGTTTCACTGATTCACTTCCATAACACTGAGGAGGCAGCCGCCAGTCCCTCTTTGACAGGTGGGGAAATGGAGGCTTAGAAAGGTTAGGTGACTTGCCCAAGGTCACACAGCTGTTGTGAACCCAGAATGCAGTGTTTATACTTTTAGCATTCCCCCCTTAGCTATAATCCAATAAGAACCACTCCTTGTTTCCTCTAGTTCCCTGATGCGGGCCCTTGGAGAGGCCCTAGCTGACCGGCTCTTTAAGCGGTCGATAAACCAAGGCCTCTTCCCAGGAGGCAAAACCTGTTGCTCAAAACCCTGTTGTCACTGAATCAGTTCCGACTCACCGTGACCCCTGTGTTTGAGAGGATGACTGTGTTGCACAGGATTTTCAGGGACTGTGTTCTTGTAGAAGCGTTAGTAGCCAAGTGCAAACTATTTGCATCACCCAGAGACCTGCTCTGCTGCTTAAAACCAGAAGAAACCCAAACCCACTGCCATCGAGTCGATTCTGACTCATAGCAACCCCCATTGGGTTTCCAAGGCTGTAAATCTTTACAGAATTAGACTGCCCGGTCTTCCTACCGTGGAGTGGCTGGTGGGTTTGAACCCCCAACCCTCTGGTTAGCAGTCAAGTGCCTTAGGCACTGAGCCACCAGAGCTCCTTGCTCTGCTGCTTGGCAGACCTTACAAAACCAAACCAGCTGGCACGAGTTGATTCCGACTCAGGGCGCCCCCATGTATGTCGGGGTGGAACTGTACTGCATTTTCAGTGGCTGGGCTCTTTTGGAAATAGGTCACCAGGCCTTTCTTTCAAGACACCTCTGGGTGGATTCAAACCACCAACCTTTTGGTTGGTGTCTGAGCACTTAACTGTGCCACCTAGGAACTCCTTAGAGATCTTTATCAGTACACCCAAAGCCTCCCCTTCCCATGTAACAGTATTTATTATAATTGTCACTGTAATGTTCTTGGATATTAACAACCACGTGTTTCTCTGTCTAGCGTGCAATGTGAATAAAAGCATCTGTTGAGAATATCGCTATTTGTGTTGATCTGTGACATTCAAAGCAAACACAGTGGGTTTGCTATACAAATGCAGCCCCAAGATAATTTCTGTAATCTTAACCAACTCTGTGATAACCTCTCCAAACAAAGGCACAGTGGTCTAACTTCAAACTTCATGTTTGCTGCACAAATATAGCTTCCAGATAGATGGTCCTCAGCGTTCATGGCCACCGCAACCTGAGACTGCCACTTCTAAACCTCTCTCACATTGGAGCCCCTAATGCAGCCTGTGCAGTACATATAGGTCCCCAAAACCTTTTGCAAAATTGTCAGATATCAGTTCAGGAAGGACGTTCAGGATGCTTGGGCATTCCCCATTTGCCATGGAGTCTGGAGTGGGGAATTTCACCTTTCTGGGGTCCCAGTTTCCTAGCTGATGATGTCTCAGCAAGGCCGCTGCTGCTCTGGTGTTCTGGGAGTCTGTGTCCCCAAGAGGATCGGCCCTCACACACCTGTCTTCTGGTGGCTGGTGAGCTGGCCAGCAGGGAGGCTCGGGCCAGTGTGCAGGGCAGATGGGGGTGGGAAGACAATTCCTGCATTATGTCTTCCTGGCTCAGAAATGCTGCCAGCAGAGATGAAAAGGAGTGGGATGTGGTTTCTGGAATGCAGTGGTTGCAATTCCCAGCACCACTGGGGTCCCAGCTCTTACTACAGAGCTCCGGAGGCTCGAGAAGTCAGGCTGCCGCCAGAGAGAACACCTCCAAGTTTTCCAAGCTTGAATGGCCATTCTGGGATTCGGAGGTGTGGGGAGTGGCCCTGGGTAGCTAATGGGGACAGGACGGACCTGTTAAAGCAGGCGTGCAAATAAATACCAGCCCCTGTGTTTGCAGAGAAGTCTTGCCCCCTTTCCTGCCTTATACACACTGAGAGCAAATTCAGCCTGAGCATCTACTGAAGATCAGTTCTTAGCATGGACGCTCCCAGGTGACTCTTTCTAAGGATGTGTTGAGAAGGAGTTTGGAGGTGTTCTGGGCAGGGCTACTGCAGAGGGTTGTGCAGGCTGTTCACTGCTCAAGGGGCCTTGAGGAGCCAGGTGAGACGGGACCAACCTGCACTCCACCTGCCGCCCTGATCTACCAGAAGAAGAGGAGGGAAGGGCCATTTTCTCATTAGCACTAAGGTGCCATATGGGCTAGAAGCAAACCTGGTTCTGGGGTGGTAGATCTTCTTGGAGATGCTCAGAGTTCCACTTTGTTGCGTCTGATTCTTGGGGTGGGAGGTTAGAGGAGGGATTCAAACGAGTGCTCAGGAAATTGTCCATGTCATTCTCGATTTTGAGACTTTGAAATCAGAACTGGATTCCCATCCACAAACTTGCTCAATGACCTTGGACAAGTCATTTTTCTTCTCTGGGCTTCAGAGTCTTCATTTATAAGATGACTTTTATAAAACAATCTACCTTCCTCCTGGGTTGGCATTCAGGCTCAGTGAAGTCAT